ATTCAGGTCCTTATTTCATTAATTAACTTTTAAAATCCTGAAAATGAGGCCAATTTCTACAAAAATATCGTTCAAGCGTTTTGGGGACGAGATCATAAAATAAGGTGAATTATTGCTAAACTTTTGGCATGCCATCCACATTTGCTAAAATAGGGGGTTAACCTCTCTAAATTTCAAGGTTCTAGCTCATTATTTTATTCTTAAAATGGAGGTATTAACCCATTGTGACAGCATTTTGATTATGTTGATGTTGTTCTGATGAGCAAAGTTGGACTTTTTGTGTTAAATTGAAGCTAATTTTAGCCTAAACTTTCATAAACTTAAGATGGATCCTGTTAGTCTGCCCGTGGCATCACTAAATTTCAAGGTTCTGCCTTATTATTTTGTATTATGATATTGGATATATTTCTTAAAATGGAGGTATTAACCCATGGTGATAGCATACTGATGATGTTGATGTTGTTCTTATAAGCAAAGTTGAACTTTTTGGGTTAAATCGAAGCTAATTTTAGCCTCATAAACTTAAGATGGATCCTGTTAGTCTGCCCGTTGCATTACTATATTTTGAGGTTCTAACTCCTTATTTTGTATTATGATAATGGATATATTTCTAAGAATGGAGGTATTAACCCATTGTGACGGCATACGGATTATGTTTATGTTGCTCTTATGAGCAAAGTCTGACTTTTTGTGTTAAATTAAAGCTTATTTTAGCCTAAATGTTCATAAACTTAAGATGCATCCTATGAGTCTCTCCGTGGCCTCTACATTTCAAGCTTCTACCTCATTATTTTGTATTATGATAATGGATATATTTCTTAAAATGGAGATCTTAACCCATGGTGATGGCATACTGATGATGTTTATGTTGTTCTTATGAGCAAAGTTGGACTTTTTGTGTTAAATCGAAGCTAATTTTAGCCTAAAGTTTGACTTTTTGTGTTAAATTGAAGTTAATTTTAGCCTCATAATCCTAAGATGGATACGGTGGAACATGGCCTCTCTAAATTTCGAGGTTATAGCTCATTATTTTGTATTATGATAATGGATATCTTTCTTAAAATTGAGATATTAACCCATTGTGATGGGATACTAATGATATTGATGTTGTTCTGATGAGCAAAGTTGGTGTTTTTGTGTTAAATTGAAGCTAATTTTAGCCTAAAGTTTGACTTTTT